CCTCCCAAAGTGCTGGTATTACAGGTGTGAGCCACCGCACCCGGCCTTCAACAGCACTTTCTTAAATCTAGAACAAGGGCCCAGAACAAGTGTGGCTTCTTTTCATATAGCCCCTAAACTAAAAATGTGTTTTGTATTTTTAAAGGATTATTAAACAGAGAATATGCAATGGAGATTGTATTCCATAAAACCTAAAACATTTATTACTAACTGCCCCTACAAAAAAAGGTTTGCAAACCCCTGGGCTAGACAAATAAGAAAACAACAAGCCAAGACCTGATCTGTAGTATTTTCTGATTTCTCTTTCCATGGCCAGTTTCCAGCTACCAACATGACAACACTGAACGTACGGTTGGGAAGAAGTGTGCAGTAGCACACCATTGTATAGTGTTTGGACTACAGAGAAAAAATAAACCCTGTGGCATAGATAAAAGTGGTAAAACAATTAGGAACCAATGACTTCTGAGTATTCATTGCATTTATTTTTAATTTAGTTTACTTAATTGTAAACTTACATAATTTAAAATGTAATAGCTATGTTTAACAACCAGTTTGTAAAGTTCCTGAAAATGTAACAATCATCTCAAATGAACTAATGTGAGTCAACTCCAGCATACCATTCTATAGAGATGCACCTACAGAGATAAAGGCTATATTTCATTTCTCATAGAGAAAAAAACTCACTGTAGATAAGCTCGTATTCCCAAAATAAAAAAACACATTTAGAAATAATATACTATTCCAATTGCAAGCAGATAAAACAAGCAGCAGAATAAAACCCCTAGGAGCTTCAGTGAATATAGTTATCTAAGAAAACTACAAAACAGTTATACTTAAAGTGATTTTAAAAAATCAAAACATAATAGGCCAGGTATGGTTGCTCAGGCCTGTAACCCCAGCACTCTGGGAGGCTGAGGCAAGTGGATCACTTGAGTCCAGGAGTTCAAGACCTGCCTGGGCAACATGGTGAGACCCCGCCTCTTTCTGGGTGACAGAGTGAAACATTATTTCAAGAGAAAAAAAAATCAAAACATAAGATATCATCAAAAAAGACCAGAGGAATAAACAAAGAGAAACTTGAAATTTTTTTTCTTAGATATTTAAATATATAATGAGAGAAGAACAAAAACTTGAGGTAATAATCATATATACTAATTATTTCACTAGGCTTTATATGGTGATGATCTAAAAAATTACTGAGGCATGACCTTAAAATAAACACCATCCCAAACTGCTATTCATCTGAAATCTTGCATCTGTTTCTTATGGGATTCATTTCCCTCCTGATGGACAGGATTTTCAAATATTACTTCTCTGTATTGTCAGCACTATTACCTCTCTAGAACTTTCCATCTTTCTGCTATTCCTCCTGATCTCAACTTGATTTTTATCTGACAAAAGAAGCCAGATAATAAAGGTTGCTGACTTTTATACAACTAAAACTTAACTACGTACATGACATATAATCAGAAAGGTAAACAGTACAGACAAATAATCAAATTAAACACAATAGACAAATAATCAAATTACCTAATCTGCTTCCATTTCTGGGCATTGCCATGAAGGAGCCGAGGCTCCCTCCAATAACACTGTGTGGTCTCCGCAATGGGGGCTTCTTGAAAGATCCTGTGTACTGGTGGAGGAAGGAATGCATACTGTGAGATGTTGGAGGCCTGCCATTCTTCACAATAGGCTCTGTGGTTCAAAGTATTCAAAAGTCATTCCATCATCAGCCCAAGATCCAGGATCACATGAGAAGGATTGAGAAAGCAAAACAAAAAGTTGTAACAGAGATTATTACAATTAGCCTCATTTCTTTGCTTACCTACATACAATACTAAAATTAAAATAGTTTCTCTGAAAAAATACTTGGATATTTTAAGTTGGTCTAGTAACCAACCATTTCTTATATAATCGAAAGTGGGTAAGAACCACAAACTACTAATACATCCCATCAATTTTTGATCCATTTGTTTATTTTAGTATATCTCAAGATTGTTTCCATACCACTTCTCCATTGACTGACTACCTGTGTTCTTTATAATTAAGCATGTTTGGCTGGGTGCAGTGGCTTACACCTGTAATCCTAGCACTTTGGGAGGCTAAGGCAGGCAGATCACCTGAGGTCAGGAGTTTGAGACCAGCCTGACCAATACAGTAAAACCTCATCTCTACTAAAAATACAAAAATTAGCTGAGCGTGCTGGCATGTGCCTGTAGTCCCAGCTACTTAGGAAGCTGAGACAGGAGAATTGCTTGAACCCGGGCAGCAGAGGCTGCAATGAGCCGAGATCACGCCACTGCACTCCAGTATGGGCAACAGAGCCAAACTCCGTCTCAAAAAGAAAAAAAAAAATAAGCATCCTTTAGAATATAAAAGACATGGCCCCAGCCTAAAGGAATTTACATCCCTGTTTGCTGGACGTTCAAAACGGTATGTCAATTAGTGAATAAAACAGAAGTACCCAAGTACACATCAATATAGAGGGGCTCTAAGTATATTCCCCCAAATTTGAGATTAATCTACAGAGTATTTAAAAAATCATACTGATAACCAAGCAGAAACATTTAAAATATATATAATACTTAAAAGTTATTTAATTATACATCAGGAAACTGTTTTGTAATGTTTGTCGGGAACTGCGTGACTCCTTTCCACTTCCAAAGAAGAGCTCTGATACAGGTTAAAGATATAAGTCTTGTGATACGCAATTAGTTTTCTATGTTAGAATAATGTTTCTACTGGTAGCAGCCAAAGAGTTTTAAAGAGAACTGGACCGCTCTGAATACCTTCTCCTTTAAAATGAAGCCAACCCTTCTTCTGTAGCTAACAATCAGGCACAAGGATATCTCCTGATCAGGGGATTCCTCTATCTGTAATGGTTTCTCAACCAAGGACAGGTTGACAGGAGGAGTTGGCTAGAAGCCTTAAAGTGAAAGGCTTCTCTCACAAGAAAACGTTAGGATCCACAGAACAAGACCAGGGTATGGGCTCCAGAAAAATGGACCAAGAAGGCCATGTGGCCTGAGCCTCTACTAATACTGGCTGCCTGAAAGTGTAGAGGAAGGATGGGGCATAAGGGCCCAAAGGCTCATACAAGGTTCAATCTATCTAATCTGGGTCAAAGACCAGACTGGAGGCAGGGGCACATGCCTACCTAGTAATGCAGAACATATATCCAAAGTTTCCTATGATCTGTAAATTCCTTGGCAGTACCTAACTGATAAAGAATTTGGAGCTCTTAAGTCTAGCAAAATAATCAATGATTTAATAATGAATGAGGAGGGGCTATCTGATATAAATGCATAAATAAATAATTACAAACAATGTGGGATAATACAGGCTAGAGCATACAATAAAATTCTTCTCAGCCAAGTGTGATGGCATGAACCTATAGTCCCAGCTACTCAGGAGGCTAGGGTGGGAGGACCACTTGTGCCCAGGAGTTTGAGGCTGCAGTGAGCTAAGATAATGCCACCGCATTCCAGCCTGGACAGCGGAGTAAGACCCTATCTCAAAAAGAAAAAGAAAAGAAAAGAGGAAGATATTTTTTATCTTTCTAGGTTTTATTTCACGTGTGAAATATCACAATATTAAAATATTTAAGGCCAGGCTCAGTGGCTCACGTCTGTAATCCTAGTACTTCGGGAGGCTGAGGCAGGCAGATCACGAGGCCAAGAGATCCAGACCATTCTGGGCAACATGGTGAAACCCCATCTCTACTAAAAATACAAAAATTAGCTGGGCATGGTGGCACGCGCCTGTGGTCCCAGCTACTTAGGAGACTGAGGCAGGAGTACTGCTTGAACCAGGGAAGTGGAGGTTACAGTGAGCCAAGATTGGCCACTGCACTCCAAGTCTGGATGACAGAGCAAAACTCCATCTTAAAAAAATAAAAAAATAAATAATGCAAATATTTTCCCTACAGACAACATTTTAGTTGCTCTGTAAAGCTGTCCTAGGGAATATAGCTTGACTATTCTGGAGAACATTGGGGGAAAAAATGAGATCAAAAGGACATACTATTTGATAGACACTATTCTAGGCACTGGGCATCAACTGGTAACAAAACAAACAAAGTACTATTCTCAGAGTGCAAAAAATCTAATGGGGAAAGACACACACAAAATCAGGAAATGACAGGCGAAATGCAAAAGACTAAAAAAAAAATAGATGTGAAAATGAGTAGCTAGTTATTTTACACTGTATATTGAGAAAAGTTCTCTCTGCAGAGATATTTTTAACAAAAATTTAAATGCAAGAAAGAGCCAGTCAGGGAAGATGGGTAAGTTGTGGATAACAGGATATTCCAGATAGAGAAAAAAGCTACTGCAAAAGCAGACATATGGCGGAGTTTGACTTGTCAGAACAGTGATCCTCAAACTTTAACATGCTTCAGAATCATCTTCAAGTAAAATGTAAGACTGCTGCGTCTCACCCAGACTTCCTGGTTCAGTAGGTCTCGTGTGGAATCTAAAAATATGTGTTTCTAACAAATTCCCAGGTCCTGCTGACTGCTGGTCCAGGAATCATACTCCGAGAACCACTGTGTTAGTGGACTAGAAAGAAGGCAAGTGTAACTATAGTACCTAACCGTGGGGGGAACAGTGATACTAGGTGAGACCAGAGATATAAGGAGGGAACCAATCATTCAACATTTTATACATCACCACATAAGTTTGAATTTTATTCTCAGATTAGAAGCAGTTATGGTAGCTTTGAAGCAGAAGACTGATATGATCTGATTCATGTTTCAAACATATCCCTGTGTGCTAGGTACAATGGCTCACGCCTGTAATCCCAGCACTTTCGGAGGCCAAGGTCAGCAGATCACTTGAGGTCAGGAGTTCGAGATCAGCCTGGCCGATATGGTGAAACCCCGTCTCTACTAAAAATACAAAAAAATTAGCTGGGCTTGGTGGCATACGCCTGTAGTCCCAACTACTTGGAAGGCTGAGGCAGGAGAATTGATTGAACCCAGAAAGTGGTGGTTGAAGTGAGCCGAGATCATATCATTGCACTCCAACCTGGGCGAAAGAGACTGTCAAAAAAAAAAAAAAAAAAAAAAAATCACTGTGAAGGGTTAGATATAGTAGGAGGTAAGCAGGTAGGGATGACTACAACAGGTAACATGAGAGATCTCTTGCCACGATGCTTTATCTTGATTGCAGTGGTTATATGAATCAACACAGGTGAGAGGAAATGACACCAAACTACATTTACACTTCATTCCAGTATCTATAGTTACATAAGATGCAACCAATTGGTGGGGAGGGAGATTGGGAGAAGGGTACAAGTACAGGTCCTTTCTATATTATCTTCATAACTTCATTTGAATTTGTAACAGCTGAAAATAATTTTTTAAAAAATCACTTTGGTTGCTGTCGAAAAACAGGCAATAGGGAATCAAAAGCAAAAGGAGGAGATTACTACAGTACCCTAAACAACAAATTTTGGTGGTCTAGACTAGGGTATGTACTGAAGACAGAGGGAAGCAGGCAGATTTAGGACATATTACAAAGGCAGAAGCAACAGGCCAGCAGACACGGCTGCTAAACTAATTTCACACACCCTCCTATCACCCAGCTTTTAGCCAGCATTTATAGTAAAAACATCTATACAAATACTTTTTGTTTTCTTTTTTTTCCAGGCAGGGTCTTGCTCTGTTGCATAGGCTGAAATGCAGTGGCGCAGTCATAATTCACTGTAGCCTCAACCACCTGGGCTCATATGATCCTCCCACTTCGTCCTCCCCACCATAGCCAGGACTACATGCATGCACCATCACACATGGCTAATGTGTGTCTTTTCAGTAGAGATGGGGTTTTGCTATGTTGCCCAGCTAGTCTCAAACTCCTGGGCTCAAGTGATCCTCCCCACCTTGGCCTCCCAAAGCACTGCGATTACAATGAGCCATCACGCCTAGCCCTAAAATATTTTTAAATCTTCAGATCAACTGTTAAAAATATATAAAATATGATATATTAATGGACTATAATTGGAATTGCATATCAGTCACATAGATCAGGGGTTCCCAGTCCCCGGGTCACAGACGAGTACTAGTCCATGGCCTGTTAGGAACCGGGCCACACAGCATGAGATAAGCAGTGGGCAAGTGAGCAAAGCTTCATATGTGGTATTTACAGTCACTCCCCATTGCTCACATTACTGCTTGAGCTCCACCTCCTGTCAGATCAGTGGTGGTACTGATTCTCATAGGAGTACTAACTCTGTTGTGAATTGTGCATGTGAGGGATCTAGGTTGCATGCTCTTTATGAGAATCTAATGCCTGATGATCCGTCACTGTCTCCCATCACCCCCAGACGGGACCATCTAGTTGTAGGAAGACAAGTGCAGGGCTCCTACTGATTCTACATTATGGTGAGCTATATAATAATTTCATTATGCATTACAATGTAATAATAACAGAAATAAAGGGCACGATAACTGTAATATGCTTGAATCATCCTGAAACCATGCCCTCCAACCCCGGTCTGTGGAAAAGTTGTCTTCGACAAAAATGATCCCTGGTGCCAAAAGGTGGGGGACCACTGATACAGATGATTATCATAATGATGAGTTTGTAAAAGTTATTTATATGGTAAAAAATAGGAAGCTAGAATGGTGGGGTGGGGGGTGGGAAGGAGACAACAGGAAGGTAAAGGAGAGAAAAAAATCAGGAACAATGCCTAGACTTTTAGTTTTAATAATTGATTAAGCACGGCAAGTTTGAGCAGAGGCAGATTTTGGAGGAAGGACATCAAGAATTCTGATTTGGTCATATGAAGTCTAAGATTCCCATTAGACATCAATGTGGAGAAGCCAAGAAGGCATCTAAATATGAATCTAGAGATCCAGATGAAGATCCTAATTGGAGATTCAGACTTAGGAGTACTCAATATATATATATATGGTAGCTGAAATTTTAAGGTTGGATGAGGTCATCCAAGGAGAGAGTATGATAGAGAAGCAATTGTGGCCCATGAGAGAGCCACAATAAAATGGAATAAAATATTCCAACACTTCCAGATCTTGAAAGTAATTAATTGGCCAATTCAATAAGATAATAATACTCTGTTTTTAAAAAGTAATGAAAATCTTGGAAACATTATGCTAAGGGAAATAAGTCAGACACAAAAGGACAAATATTACATGGTTCCACTTATATGAGGTACCTAGAATAGGCAAATTCATAGACAGAAATTAGAATTGTGGTTACCAGGGGCTGGGGAGAGGGGGGAATGTAGAGATATTGTTAGTTCCAAGTAAGGATTTCCAATGATTTTTACCACCACAACATGGCAGTCATTATGATTCCACTAAGAAATGTCATTTGGCATCTTATTTATCTCGATCTTCTCATTATGTGAACTATGATGAGGAACATTCAATTTCATAACCCACCTCAGAGCCTAAGCCATTCCCTCCTCCCAATCCTGCTCTTTTAAACATTACTACTGGCCTGATCCTATTCTAGATCCTACATATATCCAATGGAGTTCATGCCTTCAGCTTCAACCTTTCATGGAACTTGCGTTATTTGTAGGAATGAGTCCTACTTAAACTCCTTATGTTATCCACTATTGTAAAAAACAGTTACTGTTATAATATATCCACAAACTGTCAAAGACAAACTGTCACAGCTACCATGTAAGAGATCAGCAAGAGAAAGAAAACTAGGTGAAAGACAGAGACTCACAATAGCCATAAAACTGGGATTTGTTGACTCATGACAAATTGCTCCAATATACAAATAGAACAGTTAAGAATGAAAATATGGAATATCAGGAAAACCAGGCCATTTTAAACTTTGCTTTTCGGTATTACTTCTAATTCCAAATAATAAGTGACATTCTGTAAGGTTTATCTGACTACACTTCCTGGGAACATGTACGTTTTATTAGCTGAAGAATTTCAGTTGGTCAAGAAGTCTCAAGTAGCATATGTACAATAAAACATAATTTTACCACCTTTCTACAACTGTGATTTATTCTCTTCCTTACATTTAAATTGTCACCTATTCTTCTCATCAAATTCACTAATCTCAATATATCTTCCTATTACAAGAAAAGTAAGTTCAAAGCTAACCAACTATGTAAAGACAAGATTCTGAAATGTAACTTTCTGAGGTAAGTATTAAAACAGAATTAAGCCTTATCAAACATCTGTTCTGCTGCAGTGACAGAAAAAAAAAAAAGATATCAAATAAAATTGAGCATCCATGAGGGAAAGGTATATCTCGGATGAACTGAATATTTAATTGGGATGACATTCTTATAAAATAAACCATTTTAAAGTATACAATTCAGTGGCATTTGGTATACTTACAATTTGATACAACCATCACCTCTCTCTGTTCCAAAACAGTTTTCATACCGCCATTTTCGTATCACCAAAGGAGATCTCATACACATTAATCAGTCACTCCTCAGTCTTTTTCTCCCTATCAGCCTCTGGCAACCATTAATCTGCTTTTTGTCTCTATGGATTTACCTGTTTTGGATATTTCATATAAATGGAACCACAGAGTATTTTGGATCTGGCTCCATTCAGTTTTCCAAGTTCATCTATGCTACAGCACGTAGTGCTTCATTCATGTACTGAATACTATTCCATCCTACGGATAGACCAAGTTTTGTTTATCCATTCATCTGTTGATGGGCATCTGGGTTGTTTCCACCTTAGCTATCGTGAATAGTACTACTATGAATATAAATATTTGTGTATAAGACTTTGAATACCTATTTCAATTTTTGGGGTATATTCCTAGGAATAGAATTGTTGGGTCAAACGGTAATTCTATGTTTAACTTTTTGAAGAACTGAGGTAAATTAATTTTTGACAGGTCTTTTTTTTGTTTTGAGATGGAGTCTGGCTCTATTACTCAGGCTGGAATGCTGTGGCACGATCTCAGCTCAATGCAACCTCTGCTTTCTGGGTTAAAGCAATTCTCCTGCCTCAGTGTCCCAAGAAGCTGGGGACTACAGGCATGCACCACTACAATCAGCTAATTCTTGTATTTTTAGTAGAGACAGGATTTCACCATGTTGGCCAGGCTGGTCTAGAACTCCTGACCTCCAGTGATCCACCCATCTCAGCCTCCCAAAGTGATGGGATTACAGGCATGAGCCACCATCCTTGGCCTTGACAGGTTTTTAAAAACTAAACATTCAACACTTCTCAGTTAGTAAAAACAAAACTGATGGGCCCAAAATTCTTTTTCTTGCAGGTTTGTGCAAAAACTTTATTTCATATTTAGGGAAAGCTCTACTAAGTTAAGGCCAGTATCCTTAAATCAACCAAGTTTTGCAAACTTTCAACTTTTTTTTAACATACTGAATACAAATTCAGTATTCATCTTTCCTTGGGTTCAACCCACCTGTCAAAGTGCAAACATACTAGTTTCTATAAACAGACAAAGTAATGTTAATTATATTGTGCATTTACAACTGAGTTAAAACCTTCATAGTATGACTCAGTTACCAAAATGAGAGATAATTATCTCGCATTCTATTTGGATAGAGATAAAACATACATAAGTGAGAATATATAGGTGTAAGTATAACCAAATGCATCATACACATAATTTTTCTAAGATGTTTATAGTATCACCTCCAATTAATGTGTTCTAGATCTAGAATATGTATAAGAGCCATGTCCCTAGATATGTAAGAGTAACAGGATTGTTATCATGCATGTGACTAATCAAGAGACAGTGATCAAAAATTGGTCCAAAGGGGGTTTACTCAGGGAAATTATGTAATGTGCCATGTGATGTTTCCGTCAATGACAAAACCCATATACAACAGTGGTCTCATAAAATTATAATAAAGCTGAAAAATTCCTATAGCCTAGTGATGTCAGTGATGCCATAGCAGCTGTAACATAGTAGTGCAATACATTTCCTTTTCTATGCTTAGATATACTTAGATACTCAAACACTTACAACTGTGTTACAACTACCTACAGTATTCAATATAATATGCTGTTCAGGTTTGTAGCCTATAAGTAACAGGTTGTACCATGTAGCCTAGGTGTGTAGTAAGCTATACTACCTAGTTTTATTTAAGTAGACTCTGATGTTTGCACAACAATAAAATCGCCTAGTAATGTACTTCTCAGAATGCATCCCCATTGTTAAGCAACGAATGACTGTATATTCCTCCTACTCCTTCAGCTAGCATTATGCTATGATTTGGCATTAAACAAAGCTCATTTTTGCTTCATCAACTGCTTATATCGTGTGTGAGAAGATCACTTAAAAAGTATAGTCTATACTTCTCATTCATTATGCTATATTCTCTGTATTCTGACACGAACTGTGTCTGTGTGTGTCACCCCTATCTACGAGCTTTTATACTTTAAAATATGTTCCATAAGAATAGAATGTGTCAGCTATCAAGCACTGACAGGTGACCAAAAAGGTGTAGAATCTCTGTGAGAGCTGTTGGTGAAATCCATGTGCTATTAGAGAGAGAAAATAAAGCAAGAGCAGATTATGGTAGCCTACGCTATCAGCAATCTTTGTAAACAAAGAGGAATCAATGTCTGTTACAATGTCTTCAAGGATTACTTCAAGTAAGTCAGGTCAAGAAGAAACTCAATAGACTGCCTATTTACCCTTTTTTACTGCAAAGTTACTACTGTAATAAAAGGAAGTCTTAATAATATATACAACCTGAAAAAAACAAATATTTTTAATCTTTCACCATTTGTTAAAAACAAAGCATGTTTTAAGGTAGTTAATACCAAAATATTCCAGAAAATATGCAATTGGTCTAAAATATTAGCTAAAACATATGTTCATTTTCTATGACCCATACCGTTTCTTTAGGAAAAGACATTTGTCTTGTAGTCAAATACTTACTAAAAATATGTCCCAGAAACTATCCACCAAGATATATACTGTGCTTATTTTATTCCTGATCATCATTGGCAAACACATTGGCAAGACTCTTCTATCATAAGAGTGAGCACACTGGGCTTCCCACCAAAAATTCAATGGGGGAGCTAAAAGAGAATTAAGGATTTTGCTCTGTGTATCTAGAAGAGATTCTCTGGCAAGAGGAACAATGGTAAGATCATAAAGTCATCTTTGAGATTTGACCCAAATGTACAATTTTCCCCTCCTCATATAATTATATTCAAATTATTATATTAAATTTCCTACTGAGCCCATCCTCTCTCCTCCCTGCCATGTTAAAAACAAAACGAGGCCAGGTGCGGTGGCTCACGCCTGTAATCCCAGCACTTTGAGAGGCTAAGGTGGGCAGATCACTTGAGATCAGGAGTACCAGCCTGGTCAACATGGTGAAACCCCATCTCTACTAAAAATACAAAAAACTTAGCCAGGTGGGGTGGTGCATGCCTGTAATCCCAGCTACTTAGGAGGCTAAAGCAGGAGAATTTCTTGAACCTGGGAGGCAGAGGTTGCAGTGAGCCAAGATCGCACCACTACACATCAGCCTGGGTGACAAAAGCGAGACTCCATCTCAAAAAAAAAAAAAAAAAAAAGGTAGATGTTATCAAGGAAAATCAAAATGAAGGAGTCCTTGCAGAACAGACGCAATACTGCAGACTTTGAAGGGAAGAAATCTGGCTTCTAAAGTACTAGTTCTAGAGCTGGGTGAGCCTGTGCAAATAATGACCCTTGCAAGGAAAGGAAATAAGAAAACTGAAGACTGGGTAGGATAAATGGCTTACTCAGAGTCATCAACTAGTAAGTGTATTAGTGTATCCAAAATCCAAACCCATGACTTTAAAAAGTCCAGAGCCCACTGCACTATGCTATTTCCTCTCTCAAAACTTAAGTATTGGAATTCAGTGGAAGGGGCAAAGGGTGTTCATGCTTTCCAACCATTGTCACACATCTCTAGCCGCAGAATTTCAGGCATAGGTAAGGAAGATGTGTCAGATACTCTGCACATCATGAAACATTAGCAGCAAGTCACGTAAGCTCCTTCCCAATTATTATTACGACATTCCTAGGGCTATTTCAGATTTGAATAGGTAGCCTTCCTCTAAAAATTTCATCAGGATTTTGTATTTAATACACAAATGAAATCTGGGTACTACTACTTTATGTTGTAAAAAGCATTGTCAAATGCATGGAACATTATAAAACTATGATGAAGCCACAGACAGAAATTTCACGTACTTCCTATACACTTTTAAGCTGTATTAACTTGGGCTACAAGAATAACAAAAATATTAACAGTTATTTAACAATTAGGATAATATTATAAAATGCATTCTTATCTAAGAACTAGTGAAAAATGGAAGGATACATGGAATAGAACAATTCATCAGGGTTTGAGACCAGGTATTCTAATGTTGGATCGAGAGAAAAATTTTCCAGTTAGTAAGCAAACCAAAGTTATATAGTCTTCAATTTCCTCAGAAACCATGGAACCGGACAGAAATAAACACAAGGAAGCTATTATGAACTTATCTAAAAAGTAACTTTACATTCTATTCATAAAGTAATTAAAAGGAGGAAGCATCTCCCCCTATGCCAAATATTTACCATTATCCTTACTGCTGTTTTCTTCAATAGTCATTTGTTCAGCCAATTCAGACAGTGATTCATCAATAGTCTGGCTTCCTCGGAGTGTGAGGGATAGCCTTCTTTTAAATTTTTTCATCCTATCAACTGAAGATGGCTTGAAAAATCCTGAAAGAAAAGAATAAATACAAAATCAAAGATATAATTATAATATTTTACCGCTAAAGAAAAATACCACCTGGGTTTACTGGTAGTCTTTAAAATCGGAATATAATGAAGAATTCTCACTTCTGCCAAACATCATCAAATCCAACCCCTTTTTAAAAAGGATCCACCTACTCTGAATAATGCTGTATTTATTTGGCATCATCAGAAGAGCAGGCATTCTATGTAACTAAAGGGTGGGACTTTAAGCATCACAACTAAGTTCAGAAGGATTAGAGATTTTCTTAAAATGTGTATTTTGAAAACCATTATAGTAAAATATCAACATTATTTTGACACTTAGGTTCCATCACATAAATATCAATCATCATATTGGAACCAGCCAGTGATATCTTCAGATATAAGTGAGGGGTGGGTGAAGTAATGGAGGAAGATAAAGAACGACGTTTGACAACGAGGGTCTCTTTCATCCTAAGAGTACCAAGCTTTAGAAGGAAGAAAGGAAAGCAAAATTAGTGGGTACTGAATTAAACAGATCCAACAAGAAATTTTCCTTTTTACACTCTTACACAGCCAATACATTAGGGTTTGGTCTTGTTTTCCTTTGTTAGGCTTTCAAGGGTCTCTTTCATCCTAAGAGTATCAAGCTTTAGAAGGAAGAAAGAAAAGTGAAATTAGCGGGTATTGAATGTCTGACACATGGTAGATACTTTCATATCTCTGAGTCTTCCTAATTCTGAAAGGTAGAATATACTATCCCATTTTCATACATGAGGAAACATGCTCAAAGAAGTTCCCTGACCCATGTCAAACAAATAATAAATGACAGAACAGATTTAAAACTAGAATTACAATTTACTTTTTCTTCCACACTTTAACATCTTTAAAATCAGAATGTATCTCACAATTAATGTGATGTCAAAATGTAACTGACAGTATTTTTTCTTTCTTAGAGGTACATAAATCAATGGTACAATTCATAATAGAGTCTTATATGTGATCAAACAAGGTACTTAGGCCAAACCCAAACTCTTGACCCACAATTTCCTTTCTAACTTGCTGTTTCCAGGATGAGCTGGTTTACCAGATCACCATGCACACTATAACCATTATCCTAGCCAAAAGTAAGGGCCATACAACTCCCCCCCCTAGTTAAAGTACAGGGGTTTTACCATCCAGCTCTGGATATCTATTTTATATCTGTATGTGTTTTGCTTAATTTCTCATTCTAAGGGTTTATCTTAAGTAACTGAGTTTGCAGAACAGGTAACTTCTGCATATTAGTTATAAAATAATTTTTGTTTGCTCAAAAACTGAGGGAAGGTATAACAAATAAACTTCTAAATAATAACTATATTTTACCACTTTCATATTATATACTTATTATATTTTAAAACAGAAAACAGCTGGGCATAGTGGCTCATGCTTCTAATCCTGGCATTTTAAGAAGCTAAGGCAGGAGGATTTCTTGAGGTTAGGAGGTTAAGACCAGTCTGGGAAACATAGTGAGAACTTGTCTCTACTAAAAACTACTTAGCCAGGCATGGTGGCATCTGCCTGTATTCTCAGCTACTCAGGAGACTGAAGTGGGAGGATCACTCGAGCCCAGGAATTTAAGGCTGCAATGAGATATGAATGTGCCACTGCACTCCAGCCTGAGCAACAGAATGAGATACTCTCAATTTTTTTTTAAATCCACTATAATAAAAATACCAAAAAATACTAAATACACATTAAAATAGTAAGAGTTGCAACTGCACTTTAATAAAAACTCTTTTCACCCATAGGCTCTAAAATAAGAGACATACTTTGATGTTACTAAAAAGCTCCTACTCCTTAGCTCAGTTTAAAGACATATATACTCCTAAATGTTTTCTATTAACTTATCTTCCAGTTCACTAATCCTCTTTTCAGCTGTGTCTAATCTGCAGTTAAATCTATCTGTTGTGCTCTTAGTTTTAGTTACTATATTTTCAGCTCTAGAATTTCCATTTGATTCTTTTCTATAGATGCCAGTTCTCTAGTGAAATCCTCCACCTTGGCATCTATTCTCATGAACTGAATATAGTATCTTAAATCCCGTTTTAAACTCCAAAGTCTGCACAATCTGTGGATCTATTTCTCTTGTCAATTTTCTTCTGTTGATTTTTTTGTATGCTTATTAGTTTTTTATTGTATGCAAAACATTGTGAATTATTGCATGCGAATATGTATGGAAAAAATGTAGAGCCTCCAGATGATGTTACCTTCCTCCAGAAAGGATTTAATTTTTGTTTTTAACAGGCTCTGTAGGAGCAGACTGAATGCAATCCAAATCAGACTGAGCTGACTTGAGACTGGGTTTCAGACACTATGAAGATTGTTCTGTCTCTGATTTGTCCTCACTCAGTGGCGTGGCTCTTCAACAGATTCCAACCGTTAAAACCTAAGGCCAGAACGATAACAAACTACTGAAAGCTGAATTCAACTTCCTCATTTTTTGCTCATCTCTTACACCTTGCTCAGTTTTTAATCTTCTTATCCCAAATAGCTTACGAGTTGGAAAGGGGAAAACTTAAGACTTGGATCAAAAGGAAAATCTGCACAGAGTATGTCTGTCTCCCTTCTCTCCTGAACCTTGACTCTTCAAATGAGACGCTTTACAATGTCTTCAAAATGATTTTCCCCCCTAGCATTTCTAGTTTTCAGCAGTTTTAGTCTGTTACAAGTTACTCCATTATTGGCAGAAATGGAGGTTTTGATGTGGATTAGATGATTTAATATATGCATTTCACCAAGCAAGGTGAATTTATAGGAGATAAGTCAGTAAACCATGACATTGATCCCAATTAAGAAACCTGTTAATTGTAGGGCTATCCTAAATGCTATTCTGTACTTCTGATAGTCAATCTTTATAGCTCTACCTTGACAGAGTCAGCAACTCATGCCATTTGTTTAAACATATTAGATATTTAAGTTGTACTGAGCTACTGCCACTCTCATCTATCCTTTGTTTCTGTAAGACTTGACTTTACACTAGAGATGTCTTCCTTTGTTAGGCTCCTGAATCACCCTGTGTAGTAAGGAGGTAACTAGGTAGGCTTGGGGTACTCTAACTCTGCACATTCTGAAAAAAGCACTAGTCTGTGAGAGGCTCCTGAGAGATAACCTCTGAGCCCTTGAAATATCTTGCCCGATAATAGTATCTCTGTATAACTGAGATCTTGATCACATCAGATAATTTGTATAAGCAATATAAATTATGGTTAATGTTTATTTTTGTACGCGTGGGGCTTTGGCCCACACTGTGTCAGTTTGACTTCTTAGGGGAGGAAGGACAGGAGAAGCTGGAGACTGAGTAACTAAAGTCAGTCATATGAGCACTTCATGCCTATCTGATCCACAGCAATTTTCTTGCACAAGACACAGGTGAACCTCCCTGTTTGAAGCTCTCTGCATGTTGTCATAGCCCATGCAACTCCACTGGAAGAAGACAAACAGAAGCTCGTATCTGGATCCTCTTGGGCTTCAACCTATACACCTTTCCCTTTGACTTTTTTTTTTTTTAATTTTTTATTGGATTTTAGGTTTTGGGGTACATGAGCAGAACATGCAAGACAGTTGCGTAGGTACACACATGGCAGTGTGCTTTGCTTTCCTTTTCCCCTTCACCCACATTTGGCATTTCTCCCCAGGCTATCCCTCCCCACCTCCCCCTCCCACTGGCCCTCCCCTTTTCCCCCCAATAGACCCCAGTGTTTAGTACTCCCCTTTCTGTGTCCATGTGTTCTCATTTTTCATCACCCGCCTATGAGTGAGAATATGCGGTGTTTCAATTTCTATTCTTGTGTCAGTCTGCTGAGGATGATGTTCTCCAGATTCATCTATGTCCCTACAAATGACAAAAACTCATCATTTCTGATTGCTGCATAATATTCCATGGTGTATACGTGCCACATTTTTCCAATCCAGTCTATTATCAGTGGGCATTTGGGTTGATTCCAGGACTTTGCTATTGTAAACAGTGCTGCAATGAACATTCGTGTACATGTGTCCTTATAGTAGAACGATTTATAGTCTTTTGGATATATACCCAGTAATAGAATTGCTGGGTCAAATGGAATTTCTATTTCTAAGGCCTTGAGGAATCGCCACACTGTCTTCCACAATGGTTGAACCAATTTACACTCCCACCAACAGTGTAAAAGTGTTCCTTTTTCTCCACATCCTCTCCAGCATCTGTTGTCTCCAGATTTTTTAATGATCGCCATTCTAACTGGCGTGAGATGGTATCTCAATGTGGTTTTGATTTGCATCTCTCTGATGACCAGTGACGATGAGCATTTTTTCATATGATTGTTGGCCTCATATATGTCTTCTTTCGTAAAGTGTCTGTTCATATCCTTTGCCCACTTTTGAATGGGCTTGTTTGTTTTTTTCCCGTAAATCTGTTTGAGTTCTTTGTAAATTCTGGATATCAGCCCTTTCTCAGATGGATAAACTGCAAAAATTTTTTCCCATTCTGTTGGTTGCTGATCCACTCTAGCGACTGTTTCTTTTGCCATGCAGAAGCTGTGGAGTTTCATTAGGTCCCATTTGTCTATTTTGGCTTTTGTTGCCAATGCTTTTGGTGTTTTGTTCATGAAGTCCTTGCCTACTCCTATTTCCTGGATAGTTTTGCCTAGATTTCCTTCTAGGGTTTTTATCGTGCCAGGTCTTATGTTTAAGTCTTTAATCCATGTGGAGTTAATTTTAGTGTAAGGTGTCAGGAAGGGGTCTAGTTTCTGCTTTCTGCACATGGCTAGCCAGTTTTCCCAACACCATTTGTTAAACAGGGAATCCTTTCCCCATTGCTTGTTTTTGTCAGGTTT